AATGCATATACTGACTGAGTACGGGTGTAAGTACAGTCGCGTCCCCAGAAACGACTCACACGTTCCTTCTCGTTTTTTTTGAAACGACGACCGGTAATGCCGGTTCTAACGGTACTTACCGACTGGATAATATGGAGTACAATGGAGTTAATATTTTACGCTGTTTTCAACCATCTTTCTATGCTAAAACGTTAATGAATACGATCTTGCTTTAATGGTCCTTTGGGTCAACTTCATCTTTCGTCTTGAAGCGCGCTTTCAGAAATTCTTTATAAAACTGTTTATAGAGAATTTATTTATTATAAGTTTGGGGCTAAAAACGCCAAAACTAATGTTATCATTATTACTGTCAATATTACTGAATTTATAATTAATTTTTTTTTTAATTCTTACCTTTTTGTATGAAAACGAGACGTTAATTATCAGATTATGAATGTATCCAATACAATAAAACTGTTTACCGACTGGATTTGAGGAATTTAAGCAAGTTAGCGGAAGAATAAGTGATTTAGAAAGAAAAAGAAGAAGAGGTGGTCGTGAGGGGGGTGGCTCAATCCGTCCTGGATTCTTCTACAAGAAATTTGTAGATTCGCTGGGAACTTTAAGTGAGGTTTGGCCGTTTGAACGAAATGCGGATAGAGATGAGTTGGCGGAAATGAGGGACTGTGGGCTGATCGACTACCTTGATTGAGTGTAGTTTTATTGACCGCTGGCTGATGGACTGCCCTTTCTTCGGAAGAGCTTGGGCTTTTCAAGCAGCTGGCAGTCGGCATCGTACATGTGACACCTGAGTCCGCAATTGATGATTGATAACACTCATCAACACGAGAATTAGGCTGTGGCACAAAATGACTTTTTCTTATAGATTTCGGGGTTTAAAAATGTTTAACGAATTATGGTTTTTTTTAAAGAATTTTTTAAAATCTGGTGTTTTTTAATGTTTTTTTTCAGAGGTAGTGCTTTTATTTTTCACATAACTTAAGTATCTTATATCTGGTTGTGGATCGCATGGAGTTGGGGTATCGAGAGTTTTCTGCTTTCTTATATTTATTGGGAAATAATGAATGGGATAGGAGGTTTGTGTCGATGTTACGCAAAAAATTTGTGGAGTTGCTGCTGGAGAGTCTTCTGGTAGGGACTTATGCTAGAAATACAATTGCTCTTATGTTAGGGAAGTGGTGTATAGTATGAACTAAGGAATGTACCGGTTCATGGTTCCCAAGGTTCGTTACAGGTGTTAGAGGAAGAGGACAAGAATATAAAATATCGAGCGAAAGGTCACTGCTGTACTTATAAATACTACTTCTCATAACATTACACGGTTAACAGTATCAATGGCATCCATTGCAATATCAACGCGAAATTATGTTAAAAAGGCGCAAAGCTCAGAAGAATTGTTGTGTGGGTTGTGGGGTTTGGCGCATCGAGATAAGCTATTGCGCGGGTCTTGCCCCTAGTTTATTAATTTTTGGGGTTTTACTTTACCGCAATACCCGTACTTTAGTAGTAGCAGTAGTGTGTTCTTTATTTAATGTGTATTAAGATAAATATAAATTACTAGCAGACCCGCTCGCTTCGCTGCTTACGAATTGAATTTTTAGGAATTCATCGAAATTAAACCATGATAATTTTGATGTAATAACATATTTTATTTATTGCAATGCTTTGTGATAAACAATATTGTTTGTTTTGCCGTTGGTTTGTATTCGTGAGCACGCTACATACAGTTAACCATGCGATAATACGGGATGCTACAAATTTAAACCACTACTTTAAAAACATTTAACTTTAAAAACCACACTGGTTGGTTTAAAACGCACACATTTTCAAAAGCAACAAATATAATTACACAAATTGTAATTTTTTCAGAAAAAAATTTATTACACAAAAATTTATAAAAAACAAAATCTATCATAGAATGTTCTGTGTTACAGAATGCCCCAAAATGAAATGAAATAGGCGTTCAATCACACATTTTTAGACCAAATATGTAATTTTTTGGTTAATTTTTAATTTTTGTGAAACCTGTTTATAGAAAAGTACAAATTTGTTTGTGCAAACGAGGCCACATTCTATGACTATCAAATAAATTAAAAAAATCATGCAAATTGATGCACGCCTTGCGGAGATAGCCGCTTACACGCAGCTTTTTTTTCTACAAATTTATAAAATAGATTAAATTAAATTTTTTGGCGTGGCTTGGATGCCATTCGCCCTATTAGTATTCTTACCTTACTTAATTTTATTTCTAAAATTTTCGCCTACTGTTGTCGACTTCCAAGCCGCTCTCTCAATATATTCTATCTGTAAAGCAAAATTTCCTTGAAAAAATGTGCCAGTTCGTGGCAGCCCGTTCCGTTGAGCAGGGCAGTCAAGCCCTGGACTGTTAGCGATTTATTTCCACAATATTTTACTCTAATATCCTTTAGGATAGGACATGTCGCCAGAAAGTGCATTGTATCCTCCGGTTCGTGCATATTGGTTCCCCTGCTGCAGTGAGACTTCCATATGGAGACGCATTAAGTGGTAGCGTTTTCGTGCGTGCTCTGAAAATGAGTGAGATGAGTTCGCATCTATGCTATCTATAAAAATGGTGGTACTCTTCAAGATTATAAAGGCTAAAGGCCGTGATGCGCTTCTTCCACTAGCTCGTTCTGTCCACGCTTGTCTACCGTCACGTCTGTGGCTCTAATGATCTGGTCATGCCAAATTCTCCACAATGCAGGGTTTTGGGAATCGTTTGGGCAGCGTTTGCTATCGCTTCCTACCTAGCGATGAAATCGGTGTTGTTGTTTGTTAAATACCTTTTTTAGGAGTCGATCGTCATGCATATCCATCACTTTGGATGCATAGATGAAATGTTTTTGCAGCGTATATATAAATACTGCAGAGAGACAAGTTTCCAGATCGATTGCGTACGTCGGCGCGTTTTGTGGGAGTCTGAATATTTTTTTTATATAAAATAATAGCGCTTGTATCCCCATACCTCCGCTGCATAGCCCGTTATGGGTTGTGCTGTCGCCATGTATATTTTGTATTTTGTGCTCGGAGGAACGTTACTTTTGCCAAGCAGCTGTTTCCATGTGCAATTTAAGCCACATTTCCATCTGCTAGCTTGTTTTGCACATGCTTCTCAAAGCTCAAATTTTGAGTTGGCGTAACTCCAAGGTACTTAAACTCACGGACCATTTCCAGTATGTTTTCATTAAGTGTCCAGTCTTCGTTCTGTGCCGTGCAGCTTCTGCCATCTTTTATCACCATAACTCTTGTTTTTTTGCCAATGTTTCTTAGGCCCAAAGTTTGGCAATAATTTTGCATGGTGTGCGATTTTGCCATGATTACCATGTCGTCTGCGTACTTAAGTACCTTGATGTTCTCCGTTCTTATATGTACTCCTCGTGTCAGGACCGACGTAATGTCGTCCACGCACAGGGCAAATAACAGTGGGCTAAGGAGACTGTTGAGCTAATGAGCTTCTTCAGTAGCGTTGTTTTGCGATATGTTTATTAACCAGACGATGTTTGTTCAGATTAAATATGGTTTATTGTTGTAAACAGTATATAAGGCGATACAGAGTCGAAGGGATAGCGAAAGGTTCGAGTAAGTTTGATGACTTGAGCACGATGAGTCGGTTGGAGAGTTACCTGGATTAAAGACGGGGTCAGATCTTAGACGCGGGGGTCGGTACAAGACGGTGTCGGATTTAATAGCTCGATTCCAAGACGATGTGCAAGAAGTGATTGCAAGATCAAGACTGACTTCAGGGGCAGGCGGGAAGAATTGCCCGTGCCCTAATACGAGCGAGAGATAGATGGCAATGCAAAGGAAAGAAAGAAAGGCGCGAGATGAAGAGGCGAAAGAGAACGGCTGCATACGCTGCTGCCGTGCAGGATCATGAATATGTACATATGTATGTATATGTATGTAGCTGACAAAGTTAATCGGTGGGCAGTATAAATGACGAACAATAATAGATAATTACTCTTCTGCTGCACCACTGACTATGATCTACGGATTATGTGGCTGCGTAACCAAACACAGACATCCTTGCTTAGCTCCAAGGTCGCATGAAAACAATTCAGAAAGATTATTGCCGTTCCAGGCCGCGGCCGTGTTATCGCTAGAGACATTTTAGTATATTCAAAATCTTTGTTGATACTCCGGGCATGCTAATTTAAAAAAATAAGCTATGTCGGTCGATGGTATCGAAAGCCGCTTTAAAGTCTATGAAGCAGGTGTACATCTTCAGGTTTCGCCTCCCGTACTCTTTTGGTACAGCCACAAGCTCGAAAATGCTGTCCACTGTGCTGTAACCTCTTTTAAACCCAGCTTGGTATTCGCTAAGCACACCAAACTTTTCTACCCAGTCATTCAACCGCGAAAGCACTATTGATGCAAACACCTTCATAGTCGAAGTAAGAAAGGATATCCGCAATAGTTCGCTGCATCTGTGACATTGCCTTTGTCGTGTATCGGGTAAATAATGCTCTGATGATATTCTAAATTGTGTTGAATCGTTAGACAATAAATAAAATTTTCTGGTGCGTTTTTAAGAATTCTGCTAGTGTACGGTCTATTCCGGGGCTTTACAGTTTTGGCTCTGCTGCTTTCTGCTGCTTTGACTTCCCACTATATTTACGGTGTATGGCAAAGAAAAATAGTGCTGTATCGCTTGGCTGTCCTGCAGGAGTAGATTTTTAAAATGCTGCGCTAAGCTGTTCGGCTCAACCCTGATTTGCATTCTCTTGTTGGTCCCATTCAACCTCCTGATAAACTCCCAGAAACCCTTGCTATCTTTAATGCTATTGACTACAAGCTCCATATTCCTGTAGTGGTCACCCTTTTTTTTCTTCACATTGTTTTGAAGGCTGTATTGGCCAAGAGGCCAAGTACCAAGAGGTACTCCCGCTTCTATTCCCGTGCTTGCAAACATAATTATATATAAGAAACTTGCGCTTTTACAAATGTATATTATATTTTTATATATTTATTGTTTCTAGACGGATTTCAGTTGGTGACTCCAAACTAAGCCAAAAACATGATTCAAAAAAATCTTCTATAAAAGAGAACGAATCTTTCATGGCTAATATTTTCCGTCGGTCTTTAGTCTCCAAGCAAGTGTTTCCATATCCCGATGTGCTAAGCCTGGAACAAAAGGAATCAACTTTCAGTTTAATAGGCCCTTTTGAACGATTTTTTTCTGTACGTATATTAATTTTTATGTTAAACATTAAGTATAATTTTACTCATTTAAGGAAGTTAATGACGCTGCCAGAAGCGATGAGACTGGAAAAATAGACGAAAAAATCCTCTCCTCGTTGTGGGAACTGGGTGCATTCGCACTACAAGTGGTAATATATTTTGAAACTTGGTAATTATAAGGAGCGTTTACCATGACAACTTGCTCTCAGTGATGGATTTCCTAAGATAGTTCTGGTGAACTCACATGATTAGTGTTTTTGGTCAAAAAATTCATGGATCAAATTTTGAGAAATGGAGTGTAAAAAAAGTACGCTCCGTTGACTTCATACATGATGGATTGCTTTTGGCTTATATCGATACCTGACATATCGATTCGAAAACGCATTAAATTTCGAAGAAAAATAAATATACAAATACAATTTATACAAAATCCTGAAATTCGATACTTCGGTTTGACGAAGAAATATTCAAATATACGTGACTATCATTTAATAGTATTATGACATTATACTCTCTGCACACTGAGTCCATCCTGGGGGAACGATGGGAATTTTTCAAAGATGTGAAACACCGATTCACATTGACACAATCCACCATCCACCATCCATGAGAAACAGCTGTTGCTCACAATTGCGTGCGGTGAAAATTTGTTTACTTTAATTAAAATGAATATAAATAACATTTCAATGGTCGTGAATGTGATTCAGCAGCAAAACATATTCTTGCACAAGCTAATCATGTTGTTGGACATGGACGATGATGATGAGAATAGCTTTGACGAGGAGGAGATAATAGAATGGATATCTGTTTTGAAAACACTGAAGCCCGGAAGGTTGTGGTCATTTGTGACTGCTTATACTAAATCCAATCAATGTTTTAAATAAAAATATAAATTATATGTGTGTTGAGAAGCGGTTTGGGACATTTTGGGAGAAAGATGTACCCAAAAACAACGAGGCGTTTTTAAATCTAAGTTATGTACAGCCGTATACTTTGGGCTATTTGTTTTGAGTAAAGAATAGTCGGAAGGCTGTCAGCCTATAGCGTGTGCAATATCCTGCTTGAGTTTTGCAGAGCATTCATAAATGAGAGGATTCCAGAGGATAGTCCACAAACAGAGTTGTGTATCTGAGACAATTTTGACATATCAGATGTTTTTTTGTTGTTTTTTTACCATTTTCCTGTCTGTCATTGCTTACATTTTCGTAGTGAATTCCGATTTTTTGTTGTGAATGTCAAATATTTATTGTTGCATTTGACAATTATCGAAAAAATACCGCACTGAAACGTGAGAATTAGGAACATCCCAGATGGATGGTGGAATAACTGGGAAGTTTTCGGAACGGCAAAACCTTACGGACCATCCCAGAAATGGATGGTGGATGGTCCCCAGTGTGAAAAGGCTATTAGACCCAGAAAATTTTGCTGCATAGAGAATGATAGCATGATAGACATAGATAAATTAGTGTTACTAAACAAATGTTTTACTTTTTGCGGTTTTCAGTTAAAATGCTGCACATATTATTTTACGTCTATTTAAATATATGTAATATGCTTGACACTTTCTTAGTTGTTTACTTTTTCTTCTTTCTCTTTTTAAAAGCTATGAACACAGCATTTTGATATTGTACAACACACATAGCCACCAAGCCAGCAAACTTGTAACCGCAAAGTAAAAAAATCGATAATTCCGCAGCGCTGCTCCCAGCTCAACTGGACGCTCAACTGCTCTCGCTCTGACTGCACCCATAAGGTCATTTTCATACCCATACTCAAAAAAGAGTTAAGGGGTATATTGTATTTTTGGTAAAAGTTGATGTGTGCAACGCACAAAACGAAACGTTTCCGACCCTATAAAGTATATCAGGGGTGCCATAGAAATCACTTCCGCTGGAAAATCACCTCAATTCCGATTTCCACACCGATTTTTCAGCGGAATCAAAATCGCTCACAATTTTTCCAGCGATCTGATTAAATATACCCATAAAACACAACTAAAACGATTCGAATCTTATCAATTGGTGGTTAACCCTCATCCAAATAATTCAACATTATACATGTTAAGTTAATAAAATAAGCATTTTAGTAAATCACTATTCAATCCGCTGACTGAATTTTCACTTAACGATTCTGCTCTCAATCCGTTGCAGACCGAGGTGGCCGCATTACAAAAAATAGCTCATTGTAGTAAAACTTCCTTTACGTCAAACGTGTGCATACTTTTTGTGCAAATTGTGAAAACATTTGTAGTCATTTGTAGTTTTACTAGGTGGCAAATAGAAGCATAGCGATCATTATACCAAAAATTGGTAATTGTAATCAACTAAATTATCAGTAGTTTGAGAAGACAATCACAAAAACCACATACGTATCGTCTGAACGTGAAAACGAGTCCGATGCGCATCTGAGACTCGCACGATATGGGATGTTTTTTTTGCTTTGAAATTTTAAAAGTACAGCTTTGAAAAATAAATTATTTTATATAATAAAAGAAAAAAGAAAAACCAATTGTTTTGATATGATAAAATCAATAAAACTGCAAAATGAACCCTATTCGAATTGAATCTTGAAAGGTGTCAACCCTAGCCTAAGTTCGAATTTGGTTTGTGACAATTCTAAGAAAAATGAAACCGCTCGGAATTCTGTGGCACGGCGGAAATTTTGAAGCGGAAATCCTCTGCGCGGTTTCCCATTTCACTAGTGATTTCTGTGGCACCCCTGTATATATTCTTGATCAGCATCAATAGCCGAGTCGATATAGCCATATCCGTCTGTCCATAGGTCCGTCCGTCCATCTGTCCGTCTTGATGAGCGCCTAGATCTCAGAGACTGTAAGAGCTAGAGCAACAAAATTTTGTTTCCATATTCATGTGATATCACACTGCTACAAGTGGTAGTGGTATAATGATCGCTAGCTTCTATTTGTGCTGCCATGGGTCTGTGCTTAGCCGAACAGGGGTTTTTGATATAAATTCAATGGCATAAATGTGTAGAAATGGTTTGTTAGTTTTGTTTTGTCATTTTGAAGCGATGCCACCTAGTAAAACTACAAATGACTACAAATGTTTTCACAATTTGCACAAAAAGTATGCACACGTTTGACGTAAAGGAAGTTTTACTACAATGAGCTATTTTTTGTAATGCGGCCACCTCGGTCTGCAGCGGATTGAGAGCAGAATTGTTAAGTGAAAATTCAGTCAGCGGATTGAAGAGTGATTTACTAAAATGCTTATTTTATTAACTTAACATGTATAATGTTGAATTATTTGGATGAGGGTTAACCGCCAATTGATAAGATTCGAATTCTATTAGGTGTGTTTTATAGGGTGTATTTAACCAAATCACTTGATAAATTGTGAGCGATTTTGATTCCGCTGAAAAATTGGTGTGTGGCACCGCGGAATGGATTTGAGGTGATATTCCAGCGGAAGTGATTTCTGTGGCACCCTTGATAGATAGAACGGCATATAGACTTTTGAAATACTTACATTACAAAATTCACAGATACAATATAACCCATTAAGGGCTGCTCCTGGTCGGCTTGATGAAATTTTGATATGCTCACTGTTGAGCTATTGAGCTGTTTCAATAGCGTAGATTTAGATCGAAATTATAATTTGATTGAAATCACGAGACAGTTTGTTCGACTATAGTATGTTTATTTTATTTGCCATGCAAGGCGAGTGGGAGGATTATGGGGAAAAATTAACAACAGGCGGACCCGTGGTGGACCGTGTTGAAGCGAGAACAAGAGTTTTTATAAAAAGAAAAGTAATGATGTTGCGGTCAGGTCACTGTGCCAACCGACGATACGATTGTTTTAGACGATAATAGATTTCGAAGTGTTTTTTCCTTTTCTGACGAGCCTCCTTCACAGTGGCTGACGAATGCCGAGAAAGAGGAAAGCAGCAGCAAGAGTATAAGCAAAGGCCAACAAAACGGTGATAAAGAGAGACGTTACATTAAGAGATATTACATATGCTCCACTACTCTTTGTGCTGCCATGGGCCGGTGCTTAGCCTTAGCCTTATTATAACAGTTGATTAAACAACTAATTGTACGACCACGAAAATCAATGAAAAGATGAGTAATTTACTATGATTTTGAAAAAATTTTGTTATTATCAGTCATGCTCCGGCCATAGATAATCGCGATTTGACAGTAAAATACCAAAAAAAAACTGTGTAACTCGCAAGATATTACGACTTTCTTATAAGCGCGCGATTTCAAAACGAATTGCCCATAACACCCAAATCAAAACTATTATGAGCGGGAAAAAAATATAAACAAATTTGCTGATGTTATAAGTTTATATCCATATAATTAAAATTTATTTTCGTATATCCTAATATATTTAATAAATCTATTTCTAATGGCACCCAAATTTTACCTCACCAAAATAAGGCTAATAGCCTATTCCCACAGGCGACCATCCATTTCGGGGATGGTCCGTAAGGTTTTGGCGTTCCTAAAATTTTCCATTTATTCCATCATCCATCTGGGCTGTTTCTAACCCGTACGTTTCTATGCGATAATTATTCGATAATGTTCAAATGCAACCATAAATATTTGACATTCACAACGAAAAAGTGCAACTCACTTCCGACTATTCTGTGCTCAGAAAAAGATTCAAAAGTATACAAATCTTTGGCTATACAAAACTTTCCTTAAAAAATGCCTCGTTTTTTTCGCGTACATCTTTCTCCCAAAAAGTCCCAAACCGCTTCTCAAAAAACATGGAATATGTATTTGTGTATAAATTATTAATTGAATTTAGTGATGTTTTCAAAACACATATCCATTCCAATAAATTCTCCTCGTCAATGTTGGCCTCATTATCATCATCCATGTGCAGCAACATGATTGGATTGTGCAAGAATATATTTTGGTGCTGAATTACGTTCACAACCATTGTAATATTATATATATATTCATATAACAATTTATTTTGCAGGCACAAAAACTCGGAAGCGAGATAGTTTATGGACATGTGTTTCTCTGAGAATTCGTTTATGAATGCTCTGCAAAGCTCATGCAGGATATTGCAAAGTATACAATGCTATGGCGATACGCTTTTCCATAGGAATTGATTCTTTCGAAATGATTAACCAACAGAAAAGCAAACCCTCCATTTTAAAAGAGTCGCTTCGTTGTTTTCGGGTACATAACATATACATTTTTACTTAAACCTTTGGTTGTATTTTCTAGAAGCAGTCATAAACTACTACAAACTTTAATGTTGATGTGAGTTGTGTGTTGGGAAAAGGATATAAGCCATAAGGAACATTTTTAGACACTGTGATTGTTAGAAAAATTTTGTCACAAATAGTGCATAGGTTCTTCGACTGATAGCACTACTCAACAAAATTGAACTTTTTCTTTAAGCTGTGTAACAAAATGACTTTTTCTGATAGATTTCGGGATTTAAAAATTTTTGTAGTACTTTATTTTTTTTATGGTGTCATTTTTTTAAAAGAATTTTCAAAATCTGGTATTTTTGTTCATGGTTTTTTTCAGGGGTAGTGTTATTTTTCACATAACTTAAGTATCTTATATCTGGTTGCATAAGCAGCTACAAATCGGACCCAGACACTTTGTATCTGCAGCTTAACGCCTGGACGATATAAAGCTTTCAAATTAAAATTTCATCATTTTTTTACGGTATTTTTTTTTTCTCGAAATTTTGACTTTAAAAACTTGGGAAAAGTCTAAAAAAAATAATTCTAGGCCAACGTTTTTAGTTTTAGATAGACGCATTAATTAGGCGTCGTTTAAGGTATTGTTCATTAAAATCTATGGATAAACGGTCAACTTGCAGTCGTTTGGCCAAAACGACTCAAAACTAATTTAACCTGATACTGCGTTTTAGTTTTATCGTATCTTAAAAATTGTGCCTGCCACAGATTTTCGTCCTTTGTGAGGGCGAAAGAGGGCGGGGCGACGGACATCGCTATATCGACTCTGCTATTGATGCTGATCAAGAATATATATACTTTATTGGGTCGGAAACGTTTCCTTCTCTGCGTTGCACACATCCACTTTTACCACAAATCTAATATACCCCTTAACTCTTTTTTGAGTACGGGTATAAAAAGTTGGTATGGTTCGAAGCGGTGAAATGCTGTCGGGTGGTGTAATTTGTCGTGTTGTCTCTCTCCTCGTAGAAAAGTTATCAAAGTCTAATGTCATATTGCACGACAACCAAATACGTGGCCAAACTTACATAGTTTATACCTACCATAAAAAATAGAGAATTATAGAGAAAAAAAATCCGCATCTGACAAAAATTTGATATTCGAAGCACCCTTCAAATGTGAATATTTTTGTACCGTTACAAAGTAATTAAATCTATACGCTTTCAAAGCTTTGATTAAGAAATATTCAAAAATTTTAGGTGTTTAATTTGTTGTATAAAAATATGTATAAAATAATCGTATTAATGCTCTTTTCCTTTATTTCATAGCCTCCGAATTTTGGGGGATTGGGTCTGAATAATACACAGTATGGAAGACTTTGTGAAATAGTTGGTGCCAATGACTTAGGACTAGGAATAACGATTGGCGCACACCAAAGTATAGGATTCAAAGGAATACTTTTGTATGGAACACCTGAACAAAAGGAAAAATACTTGCCCAAAGTATCCACAGAATGTGTCTACGCTGCCTTCGCACTCACGGAGCCATCTTCAGGTTCAGACGCTGGATCAATTCGATCCCGTGCAGTAAAAAGTGAAGATCAAAAATACTATATACTAAACGGTTCAAAAATTTGGATATCTAATGGTGGAATTGCTGACATTATGACGGTTTTCGCACAGACTGAACTAGTGGATCTAAAAACAGGCGAAAAAAAAGACAAGGTAAACATGATATATTTTCAAATCTTCTGCTCTAATGAATAATCTTATGAATAAGGCAGACTATTGACACAGTACAGAATAAAGAACATTAACTTACCAATATATTAATGCAAAAATTCAGATTTAAAAATCTGCTTCATGTCATGATCGCACGGTTTTTTCATATTTTACCTATTTAAGACCTAATTAACTTCATTAGCACTACAGTCAAAAAATTACTTCGTTTCTTCCTTCGATAACACTAGTCAACACGACATTTAGGCTGTGGCCCAACATGACTTTTTCTTATAGATTTTGGGGTTTAAAATTTTGTAACAAACTATGGTTTTTTTTATGGTTTAGTTTTTTTTAAAATAATTTTTTAAAATCTGTTTTTTTTCAGAGGTAGTGCTTTTATTATACCCGTACTCAAAAAAAGAGTTAATGGGTATATTAGATTTGTGGTTTTTTTTGTATTCATTTAATGGTTTTTTTTGTATTCATTTAGGGCTTCCTCAATAGTGCTTATACCTAAGAACAATACAGTATGATAGGAACAGTTGGGGGACAGATGGGGTAGGGGTCGTGCGACTAGCGGTACTGCCGCAAGGCATTGCTTCGCCCGCGCGGAGACACCTACTCCGTTTGCTCCTTCCGCCTTCTCTCCATGGCCCTGAGCGTTTTCATAACGCTCGCGGCGAACACCGCGGCAGCTTCCCAGATCCTCTGGTCTGCCAGCATCAGCGGCACCAGGTTGTCGACGCATATTGCAGACCCTGCAATGGCTTCAAGCTCCTGTCGCTCGTATGCGAACCGGTGGCACTCGAAGAGGACGTGCTGAGCGTCCTCCACTATGCCAGAGCCGCACTCCGGGCACCAGTCCTCCGTATCGTGCCCAAAGCGCTTGAGGTAGCTGCGGAAGCAGCCATGCCCGCTCAGCGCCTGGGTTAGGTAGTGGTCTACCTGCCCGTGCTTCCTTCCGACCCAGGACGAGATGTGTGGGATGAGGGAGTGCGTCCAGCGCCCTTTTTGGGAGCTGTCCCACCTCCTCTGCCATTTCTCCATGCTGCTCCTTCTAGCGGCAGCCTTCAGCTCTGCCTTGCTGATTCCTGCTTCGTCGTCCTGCAGGGCGTCGTAAATTTCTCTGCGCTCCCGGATCAGCTCCCCTAGAGGAATATGCCCGGCGATGACTAGCGCTGCCTCGTCCGAGATGGTCCGGAACGCGCATGCGATCCTGATGGCGCATAGCCGATACGTGGCCTCCAGCCCCCGCATATAGCTTTTCACCGTTGCGGCCTTCGCCCACACCGGCGCGGCGTAGAGCATTTGCGCCATTACAACGCTCGTCAACAGCTTCCTCGTTGCCTGTTTTGGGCCTCTGGTGTTGAGCAGCAACCTCGAGAGCGATCCTTCGGTTCCGCTGGCCTTCTGGTTGATGTACTCCAAATGCTCCTTGAAGGATAGCCTCGTGTCTATGTGGACACCCAGGTATTTAATCGATCTTTGGGAGGTGATCGTGGTCCCTCCGACCTGCACGATGGCAGTCTCCACCGCTTTCCGGCTCGAGATGAGCACCGCCTCCGTCTTGTGGGCCACCAGCTCGAGGCCTGCTACCGCTAGCCACGATTCCACGGCTTGGATAGCCTCGTTGGCGAGGTTTTCCACGGCGGCAAGGTCCTTTGCGACCACCACTATCGCGACGTCGTCCGCGAAGCCTACCAAGCTTGTGCTGGCTGGCATCGGCAACCTCAAAACTCCATCGTACATGGCGTTCCAGAGCAGGGGTCCCAAAACGGAGCCCTGCGGGACTCCGGCTGAGACTTCGTATGCTCTGGAACCCAGACTCGTGTCCATCGTGAGTACCCTGGCGCTTAAATAGCTGTAAGCTATATTCAGCAGGTACCCCAGGATGTTGAAGCTTCTGAGGGCCTCCAGCGTTCGGCCCCAATCGGCAGAGTTGAAGGCGTTCCTTACATCCAGCGTCACCACCAGACAGTAGGACTTGCTTCAACCTCTCCACCTGGTTCCCGCGCATGCCTCCTTTGCCGTTTCTACCACTCTTAAGATGGCGTCCAGCGTTGACTTCCCCTTCCTGAAGCCGTATTGGCCCGGGGAGAGACCGCCAGCAGCTTCGATGGCTGCACTCAGCCTCGTTGCAACCACCCTCTCGAAGACCTTCCCGATGGTGTCCAGCAGACAGATGGGCCTGTAGGAGGAGGCCTCTCCTGGTGGCTTGCCCGGCTTGGCCAGAAGTAGCAAGTGGATGTGTGTAACGCAGAGAAGGAAACGTTTCCGACCCCATAAAGTATATATAGTCTTGATCAGCATCAATAGCCGAGTTGATAGAGCCATGTCTGTCTGTCCGTCTTGTTTGTCGGCTGGATCTCAGAGACTATAAGAGCATATAGTATATATAGTATATATAGTCTTGATCAGCATCAATAGCCGAGTTGATAGAGCCATGTCTGTCTGTCCGTCTTGTTTGTCGGCTGGATCTCAGAGACTATAAGAGCTAGGGCAACCAAATTTGGTTTCCAGACTCATGTGATATCACACGTATCTTTTTAAAGATACGATAAAACTAAAAACGCAGTATCGTAGAGAATGACCAAATCTGATTCAGACTGCCGAATCTGAATCAGATCGGATTATAATTATAGTCAGAATGAAAAAATTAATTTTCTGTTGGTTCCCCCGCCTACTTCAGAGAGGACCCGCTACTCATTCTCTTTCTCGCTCGCACACTCTGCCTTATTCAGTGCGCTAGCAACCCCTAGCGGAGATGTAGAATATAAATGGTACATGTAGAATATACATGTTAGATGTAGAACATACATAGTAGATGTAGATAACAGATGTAGCAAAAAAATGTAATATGTAAAAAAATTTTTTTAATTCTAAAATTCTAAAAATTCTAAATTTCTAATTCTAAAATTAAAAAAAAAATAGCACAAAAATGTAAATACTGACTGAGTACGAGTACACCTCTGCACACTGAGCCCATCCCGGGGGAATGGTGGGAATTTTTGAAAAGATGTGAAACACCGATTCAAAATGACTCCATCCACCATCCATGAGAAAACATCTGATGCTCACAATTGTGTGCGGTGAAAAATTTGTTCACATCTATAATTTAAATGAATATAAATAACATTGCAATGGTTGTGAATGGGATTCAGAAACAAAACATATTCTTGCACAAGCTAATCATGTTGCTGGACATGGATGATAATGCGGCTAACATTGACGAGGAGAATTTATTGGAGTGGATATCTGTTTTAAAAACACTGAAGCGTGGTCATTCCAGACTGCTTCTACTAAATCCAATCAATGTTTTAAATATAAATACATATTCTTTGTTTTCTGAGAAGCGGTTTGGGACATTTTGGGAGAAAAATGTACCCATTGTATTCTTTAGGCTCTTTTTCTGAGTACAGAAGAGTCGGAAGGCTGTCAGCCAAAAGCGAGTGCAATATCCTGCATGAGTTTTGCAGAGCATTCATAAAAAAATTCCCAGAGGATTCCCGAGTTGTGTGCCTGAGACAATTCTGACATATCAGATGTTAATTTGTTTTTTTTTTTATATTTTCCTGTCTGTCATTGTCTACATTTTCGTAGTGAATTCCGATTTTATGTTGTGAATGTCAAATATTTATGGTTGCATTTGACAATTATCGAAAAAATACCGCACAGAAACGTGCGAATTAGGAACATCCCAGATGGATGGTGGAATAGCTGGAAAATTTTCGGAACGGCAAAACCTTACGGACCACCAAAGAAATGGATGGTGGATGGTCCCCAGTGTGAAAAAGCTATAAGTAGAGTCGCGTCCCCAGAAGCGACTCACACGTTCCTTCTCGTTTTTCACATAACTTAAGTATCTTATATCTGGTTGCATAGAACTTCTGCAGTTCTGAAAAGCTGACAAATGCAGCTATAAATCCAACACAGACACTTTGTAACTGCAGCGTAACGTCTGGAAGATATTAAGCTTTCAAATTCATATTTTATACTTTTTTTCGGTAGTTTTGATTTCGAAATGGTCAGGGCTTCAGGTTTGCATTGATATCGGCAGCAGAGCCAATCTGATATCAGCGTCGTCGCGCCATCATCTTCGGCGATATGCGCTTATGATAAGCGCAGATATGCATACCTTTGTACGTATGTATGTGCACACATAGCGGCAGCGCAGCGCCGACGAAGCGACGACGCTAGCTTTGGCATGATCGATCTATGCTTGCCGTTCATGTTTATACAAATGTTTTGTTGATCTATTTGGTAGTTCTTATGAGTATCTATTATATTTTAATGACTGCTTATACTACAAGTCAACAAAACGGGAGAAATTTTGTATTAAAAGTTGATTGAACTGGACAACCCATGTAATCAGAATAAAAAACAAATGAAAAATTTTTCCCCAACCTAATAATGGTTCAAATGCATAAATACATCACCTGATTCCCAAGTAGTAAAAAAACACCCGCAAAAAAAGCGCTTCTTAAGGGCGCCGCCTTCCGTTCGACTCCTGCCCAGGTGACCAATGCTACGTTCTTCTCCTCAACGACTAGGAGTTCGATGGGAAGAACTCCTGCTATGACCAGCGCGGTGGCGTCTGATATGGTCCGAAAGACACAGCATATCCGCAGCGCGCAAATACGATGTATTGACCTGGCGTAGCTGCCCGCCAATACTGCTGCAGCGTACGTTATGGCTAAACGAACAACGCTGGTCAGCAGCCTTCTCTCCTGCTTCGGTCCGCGAGTGTTTACTAGCAGTAGGGCTCGGCTTGTGTGTGCCGCTTTCTCCTGTACAAAGCTCAGGTGCTCCCGGAAGCAGATCCTGGTGTCGATCATCACGCCTAGGTAGCGGATCCCAATTCGCAGAGTTGAAGTCATTTTAAACGTCCAGGGTGAAAACAAAGCACCATCGCTTGGGAGAGCGGAATCGTCAACTCCGACGAAGCTTCTGACTGAGAGCGAGAGATGAGCTCGGGCAGTCAATCAGTGGAAGCCGAACGAGCC